GTAAATGTGGCAGATTTTGTTTTCCATAAATGACCAAATCAAGATCTCCCATCTCCCAGGCTTCTTACCCTGTTTCCAACACTTCACCTGTTGAGAGGTGGGCTCTACTTTCACCTTCTTAGACTGGCTTGTGACTGCAGTGGAAGTGACACCAGGTAACTTCCAAGGCTATGTCATATGAAGCCATGAAGCTTCCTCCTGGTTCTCTTGAGACATTCACCTTTGGAGCCTTTAATCATTATGTAGGAAGTCCAGAGTCTCCATGCTATGAGAAAATCCAGGCCACACCTACCAGGAACATGAGTGAAAAGTGTCTCTGAGTGATAGCTGGCCCCAAAGGTGGAGTCACTTCAAGGCTTCAAGTCCTTTCTGCTGAAGTCTCAGGTGTCACTGGACAGAGCAAGCTATCCTCACTGTGATCTGTCTAAATCCTTGGCACACAGAATCAGTGAGCATAAGAAAATGGTTGTGTATGCAGCTAGGTTTGGTGCAGTTTGTTCTGCAGTAGTAGCAGCAGCAATTCGTTATTCATCACTGTTTATAATAGTAAACATTACTATTATACAGTATATAGTATATAAAATAATGTATATCATATATACATTGTATATTGTATAATATATATTATCTCTATTATCTCTATAATACATAACTAATATATAATATACATGTATATTTTGTGTAAATTATATATAAATATAATATAGACAAATTATATATATAATACAATATATATAACATGTTATATATTATATATAACATATGATGTATAATATGCATATAATAGTATATAATATATACACTTGATCTTAGCCAAAAGGCCGAGAAGCAATATATATAATATATAAATATAATAGACAATACATAATATATATAATACATAAATATATTATATATTATATAATTATGTAATAATATATATATTTATGTATTATATATATTATGTATTGTCTATTATATTTATATATAATAATATATGTGTATATATACATATCATATATATGTATATCATATACATATGTATGTATTATATGTTATAAATAAGACCTATTTTTATATAACATATACTATATATAGTATATTTATAATAATATATATAATAGTAAATATTACTGTTATAAACTGTGATGCCTTTTTCTGGCTCATTTCTTTCTGTTCAGGAGAAGCAGTTTAGCAGAAAGGAGAGGGTGGGAATTATCAGTGGTTGATAAGGCCCTGTTGGGTGGTTTACATATGTTATTTAATCTTCCTAACAACACTATAGATAAATATTATCAACCTTACTGTACAGAGAACTAAGGTTCAGAGAGGTTTAGTGATTTCCCCGAGTTCACACATCTAGGGCACAAACCCAAGCTTCCTGGTGGTTCCATAGTTCAAGATTTTCCTCTCTAGATTGGGTGAGAGACCCCTCCAGTGTCATGTCGTATGAACAGTGGATTCTGCCACCTAACCCACTTCCCTATCAGATGGCGTACCTGCCGAGCACCTAGGCCAGGAAGTGAGAGGGAGATGAAAAGAGAGGCATGGCCCCTGTCTTTTCTGCAGTGGTGATTATTTTAGGGGCTGGGCAGCTGTAAGTCTCATGGAAAGATAAAAGCAAGACAAGGCGGTGTGTGATCCAGGACGGTGAACTTTCACAGAGGGCGAGGGAGGGGAGGAGTCACTTTAGAGTCCTGGGCAAGTAGGTGGCTTCCTGGTGCTCTCCTTTCTATACTGGTGAAAGTTAGGGTGACCATATCTCTCGATTCTCCTTGATAGTCTTGGTTTCTTGGTTTATACCTGTTGTTGCAGTGAAATTACTTATTTTGCTTTTTTTGTTTGTATAAATTTAAGGGGTAAGGCAGGGCACAGTGGCTCATGCCTGTAATATCAGCACTTTGGGAGGTCAAGGCAGGTGAATCTCTTGAGGCCAGGAGTTCAAGACCAGCCTGGCCAACATAGTGAAACCCCATCTTTACTAAAAATAGAAAAATTAGCTGGTCCTGATGGTGGAACTACAGTAACCTGTAGTTCCAGCTACTCTGGAGGCCGATGGAGGAGAATTTCTTGAACCCAGGAGGCAGAGACTGCTGTTAGCCAAGATCATGCCACTGCATTCCAGCCTGGGCAACAGAACCAGACTCTGTCTCAATAAATAAATAAATAAATAAATAAATAAATAAATAAATAAATTTATTTGTCCAGGCATAGCGGCTCATGCCTGTAATCCCAGCACTTTGGAAGGCTGAGGCAGGTGGATCACAAGGTCAGGAGTTTGAGACCAGCCTGGTCAATATAGTGAATGTCTGTACTAAAAATACAAAAATTAGCCAGGCATGGTGGTGGGCACCTGTAGTCCCAGCTACTCAGGAGACTGAGGCAGGAGAATCGCTTGAACCAGGAGGTGGAGGTTGCAGTGAGCTGAGATCGCACCACTGCACTCCAGCCTGGGTGACAGAGCGAGACTCCATCTCAAAAAAAAAAAAAAAAAATTGAGGGGTACAAATGCAATTTTGTTATATAGATATATTGCATGGTGGTGAAGTCTGGCTTTTAGATGTATGTATCGCCTGAATAATTGTGATACACATTGTACCCATCCCTCTACTCTGGCCACCCTCCCACCCTTCCAGGTCTCCAATGTTTATCATTCCACACTCTATATCCATGTGTACATGGCTCCCCCAGTGAAATTATTAATAGCACCTCTTTTTAGTGTCACAGGTGGCCTGTTTTGGATGATAAATTACATGGTTGCCATACATGGTACTTCCAAATTCAGCTTTTTCGAGGGAATAGGGTAAAGTGCTATTGAGAACTCACATGAAATGGCATGAAAGGCAGTGACTAATGGCCCCAAACAAGTAGGAGAGCCTGTTGATTCAATGAAAAATCTGTCCATTCACTGTGTAACAAAAAAGCCAAACAGCAATTTTGTTCAATGTGAAAGTATGTTTATTGGACGTCAATTGTGTGCCACAATTAAACAGCTTTAAAATCTGAATTGACAAAAACAAACAAGACCTTCCCAACAAGGTAAACAAACCACAATTGAATTGGTCATCTAACCTGAGCTGACTGATTTGTGTCTGGCCAAAATGGCTAAGACAGTCCATATCTCTCTTGAAGAAAATGAAGGTAAGTGAGTCTAATATGAAGATCAGACTGCATTTCTCAGATATATGGTGCAGGAACCATGAGTGTCAGATTTGCTTGATCAGGGTGGAGGAGGAGGGTTAAGAAGGCAGATGCTGGGGCTCCATCCCAGCCTGCGAGATCATTCTCAGGGGATAGGCCCACAATTCAGCCTTTTTAGCAAGTTCCCAGCTAATTCTGTGGCACCATAAAGCTTGAAGATATCCAGGATTAGATATTTAGAACCAAGGAAACTAAGGCCTTAGAGAAAGTTTATTGGTTTGGGGATTGTTGTTAGTTGATTTGTTGATTTAAAATTGTGAATGCAGGCTGGGCATGGTGGCTCAAAACTAATCCCAGCACTTTGGGAGGCGGAGACAGGTGGATCACCTGAGGTCAGGAATTCAAGACCAGCCTGGACAACATGGCAAAAACCCGTCTCTACTAAAAATTAGCCAGGTATGGTGACGGGTGCCTGTAGTCCTAGCTATTCAGGAGGCTGAGGCAGGAGAATCTCTTGAGCCTGGAAGGCAGAGGTTACAGTGAGCTGAGATTGCGCCACTGCACTCCAACCTGGGCAACAGAGTGAGACACCATCTAAATAAATAAATAAATAAAAATTGTGAATGCATTTAGAACTTGGGGCAGAGGCAGTGTTAACCTCTGTCAGCACTGTGGAAAGAAGATGAAGTTGGTCTTAATTCCAAACCACTTCCTCGTATAAATCATTAGCTAACCCGCCAGGATGAGGCAAGAGTCGCATCATTTTATTATAAGAAAAGGAGATATGTTTAAACATCAATCTTTTTCTCATTATCATCTCTGCCATTGGGATTAATCTTATAGTGAATTTGCCAAGCGCTCTCTAATGTTTAGAAATTTCAGGAAAAACAGCTGTGTTGCTTAGAGTTTGGTCGATTCTGGCCAATTCTGACAAAGTTAGGCAAAGGGGAGAGTGGTACAATAGTTTTCTGCAAATTCATGATGATGAAGATTAAATATCTCACTTTCTTTTGTGCCTGTGCAAACAGAGCTTTGCAACAGAATGAAGGAGACTAGATATTAGAGCTGAAACAGATTTTTTAACATAATTTTTTTTCTTTTCTTTTTCTTTTTCTTTTTTTTTTTTGAGAAGGAGTTTTGCTCTCATCGCCTAGACTGAAGTGCAGAGGTGCGATCTCAGCTCACTGCAACCTCCGCCTCCTGGGTTCAAGCAATTCTTCTGCCTCAGCCTCCTGAGTAGCTGGGATTACAGGTGCACACCACCATGCCCAGCTAATTTTTGTACTTTTAGTAGAGACAAGGTTTTGCCATGTTGGCCACGCTGGTCTCCAACTCCTGACATCAGGTGATCTGCCCACCTTGGCCTCCCAAAGTGCTTGGATTACAGGTATGAGCCATGGCCTCCAGCCAAAAATAGATATTTGAGATGATCAAGCCCAGACTTCTTACTGCATAGATGGATAAACTGAGACCCAGCAAAAGGAAATGGCTGGAATAAATCCTGACATTGCTGCTTCCTGTGTGTGTAATAAATAGACAAGCCACTTACTTGTCACCTGGCATCTCTGAAACACAATAACCATGCCTATCTTTTGTGTGGTTTTAGGGAAGAGTAGATGCAAGAGAGCATGAATGGGAAGCACTGAGCCCAGCACTGGGCACCTGTATTGTACTCCTTGCCCAGGTGCTGTCTACCATTACTATCAGCTAAGGTTGTGGAGCTTGTTGAAGACAGAGCCAGGCCTAGACATGGACTTTCTGACTCCTCTGCATTTTCCAGAGTGTAGATTTCAGTGGTATTTGTGGAGTTCCAGAGCTTAGTCACACAAGATATCTGTGTGTCTCTAGATAGGCAAATGCTATTTTAAGACTTTCTTTCAGAAGCGCCCCAGGACAATGAGCTCTGGCTGGCTGCCTCCAGCCATACAGTCTGTTCTCAGGGGCGGGCGGCCTCTGTACTCTGTGTCTGTCTGTCTGTACCCCAGAGTACCCTGTGTATCTGGCCCCCTTTCTGCTCATAAGCCATGTGGTGGGTGAATAGGGGGCTGAGTCTAAGATGCCTGAGCCACTTTTAGGAGAGTGTCCCTTAGCATTCTCCTAGTGAGATAACCAAATGGGTGCTGAAGGCAAACTGCCTGTTGCCACTGATTACTGGCTGTGGGGCTTGAGTAAGGTATTGACCCCTGAAAAGTGCTCATTTTCCTTATTTGTCAAGTCTGTAACAAGCATATCCACCTCACAGTGTTGTTTTGAAGGTCAGTGTGGAAACTCACACAAAGCAAAGAGCCTGGCCCACAGTCTACAAAAGGTAGCTTATTGCTTACTTTTAATGGGGCTTCATGACTTTAGAGGGGAATTAGGATATAGAGAACTTCTCAATGGAAAGAACATCAGAACAGAGAGTTGTAATTTATAACAAGTAATGCAGTTGTATTTGGATAATCATAGAAATGGAAGGCCGAAATTGAGAATTGGTTGAAGGTATTGTATAGCCATACAAACTCAGAGAAATTGGCGATCACTCTAAAAAGAAAAAAATGGAAGTGTCTTCTATATTTTCCATTACTGCTTCATGAGTTCCTCCCCTTCTTCCACACCCTCTTTCTCCCTCAGAGTTTGTTATGGCTGTTTAAGTAACTTGTATAAAGGTAAATATGCCAAAACGTTCTATCCATGTGTGTAAGCCTACGATGCAGAAACTTTGAAAGAAGTTTTAATTAACATTAAATTACCCCAATGGAATTCATTCACATTTATACTAGCCATCAGCTCCCGGAGGTAATGGCCAAGAACTGTTTCTGTTTGCCTTTCTCTCAGCACCAGCCTGCAGTATAAATGTAAGCAATATTAGTTGACTGACTGACTATAGAGCTTACCATGTGACTGGAACAAAATCAGAGCAAGGGCCTGAAAACTTGTCCTCTCTTTCTCCTCCTGTTTTGGTTCCTCTCTCCTTCCCTTGTGCTGAGATTCTGACTCTGGAATTGATTACCTGATGATCTTGGACCATGATTTAGCCTCAGTTCCTGCAGTTGGAAAATGGGGGCATGATTATTCCTTTGTAAAGGCTAAGATGGCATATGTCAGAGCCAGTGGTCAGTGAAGGTTTGTGGTTCTGCTGTTGCCCAGTGCCCTCTCTGGGGTCCCCGGGTACCCATCACCATCTGCTGAGCTGCCCACTGTGGCCTGCTGTGCTAAGGCAAGGCGTTACGGTCCACTCATGCCCCTCTGATCTTTGCACACTTTTTTCCTTCGATTTCCATATCAAGACTTACCTCTTCTATATCCTGTTTCTTCAGAACTTGACTTTCTACTAAATAGGATAAAATCATCCCTACTTCATTCATTAATGGATATTGATGGGTTAGAAAAGATTCCTCCAACTCTCGAGCAATTGTTTAACCTGAAGGGCAGCTCACCCAAGGTAGGCTGCTGGCAGTCATAGATTCACAATATGAAAGGTGCCCTAGAGGGATCATCTCATATGATGGCTTTCAAACTTTTTTCCCAAATGAAACATAATTCATAAACCTGTCTGTAAAATATAAATGGGTCTGCTTTGATTGAGAGGAGGTGGGTGGTACCTCCCTGCTTGGTTTTCCCCAACCTGAAGACCCTAGAGAACTTACATGGAACTCCACTGATTTTAGGCCAAACTTCTGGCTTTGCAGAAGAGAAACCAAGGTACAGAGAGAGGAAGGGACCTTGGACTCCATAGACAGGTGGTTACTAGACTGGGGTTGGGGCCTGGTCCCTGTGCCCTGGTCCATGCCTTCCACTCTGACAGACGTGCCTGCACGAAGAAGCAGCCAGAGAAGAAAGAGGTTGTTTCTGATGACTCATGGAATTTGCTCATCTAAAGGCAAAACTAGTATGTTTTTTTCTTTTTATTCTAAGGCACTGGATGATTCCAGACAGAGATAATAAGAGACAAAACCTTTTACCGCTGAGCTACCTTTATTACTGTATTACAGGCTGTTAGTTACTCCAGGCCATTATTGTGTGATGGGTTATCAAAGGCCTATGTGAAATGTGTGGGATTTTTATGAGCTTGTTGTTATTGTAATAAAATGTTTAAAGGCCCCTTATGTACAAAGATCTTTAAAAGCTCCAATGGGGTCCCATAATCACCCACATAATTATGAAGGTCAAACTGTGCTGGACAAACTTGAGAGCTATTTTTGACCACATTAGTGGATGACAGAACAGACTATTAAAAAAAAAATTGTGGTTGCTATTGTCCCTTTCAGCATTCTGGGTACAACAAAATCTCTCTTGGAGCTGGAGCAGACTGCCGCTCTAGTATATTTTCCCACTTTGGTAAATCTAAGGAGATTTTCTTTTCCTGGGTTCCAGACACAGGATAGACAGGCTGTACATTGGGTTTTGGAGGACAGAGCTGGCCATAGTGAGTATTCAGGTCGTTTGCTAAGGAAACTTGCTTTAGCTTGTTTTCATTCCTGTCTCCATTGCCCCACAGTCAACAGATGCCCATCTGGAGCAGGCCTGGGCCTCACCGGATGTCCTTCTATAGCGATGACTGCTGCTTTCACTGGCCATCCTTAATTTTCCATCTTATACTAGGAAACTGCCAAGTTAGAAAAACAATGGACCGTTTCCTTCCTCTTTCTTTAAACCAAGAGGCTGAAAGGAAGGCTTCATATTCATAACTCACAGGCCAGACATGGGGATAAAGGTCACTAAAGTTCAAGTGTGACAAAAGTTAAAGTCCACAGGTCTCAGTGAGTTCCCAGCTCAGCTGGGGTCAAGATGACATAGATCCCCTCCCTGAGTCCTCGTGTTAACCTGAAACTTGCCTCAAACTTTGTAAGTATTTTGGGTAGACATTTGGAATCTGAGCTCACTAAAAAGAGCTCAAGATTATGGGCATGAGGAGGGGAAAGAAGTGACACAAAGCGGGCTCCATTTGGGGACAGTCTTCTCTTCTAGGACTTTGGCCTCCAGGCTTTCTGGGAGCTTGTCATTATTATTATTGGTGGTGACAGGTACATTTCTTAAAAACCTAACTTAAGAGCATTCTTGCTAAGCAGCTAAGATGTGTTTTTACTGCCATTTCAAAAATGTTCTCTCTGAAATATCCTTTTGCTGTGGCCTCTTTTCCTGTGGCAAGATGATCTGTGGCCAGAAAACCCTCATGTGGTGAGTGGTTTAGATATCCCATCCAGCCACATTGCCTCATCATGCTGAAAGGGAGAAGGAAACCACCCCTCTAACACCAGCATTCCATTCTGTGCTATTTATGCTAAAAAGCAGCTGTTAGGATTTTTGCCAGCTAGACCTCCCTTTTGCACTTGAAATCCACAGGGAAGAGCTGATGTCACACAAAGCAGAAACGTGATAGTAAGGGCAGCAAAGGATGGTGTTATGAGAAGATCCACCAGCAGCACAGAGAGATCTGATCAACTCTGCACAGGCAACATGCTGAGCCACACTAAGACTTCAGGGGTCCTAGGCACTTTTGCCATGGTAGGCCTTCTTCTTCACAAAGATAAATGAATGCATAATTATATTTGATGCCTACATTGGTATACAGACAAATGTGTTCATATTGTATGTGACAATATTTCCTTTCACCTGACAGCTAATTTTTTTCTTATTTTAAAAGAAATTAAAATGCTTTTCGTGGGCACTGTAAAAGTATTGTGGGATGTGAGCACTGCATCTACCATACCTATTGGATAAGTTGACCCTCTCAACAGGAAGCAATCTCTGTCCTCGGTACAATTTGAAGAAACGGGATATTTATGAGTTAGTGCAGTTTCGTAACTTTAAAAGGCAATGTGTGTTATGGATGGGTTTGGTTGATAAAATGAGAAAGGTTAATTAGATGTGTATACAGATCAACAAATCAAAATCTCCCTATTAGCAATAGGTTTATATGCAAGGACTTTGACGTTCCAAAGTAAATTTTAAAGCTTTGGTTTGGTGCATAAAAACCAGAAGGGTTATAGATACTGAGGTGATATGGCCTTGGGTCAGGATCCTGGGTTCATATCCACAATGTGTCAGAGTACCCTATTGCTTGGGTAAGTTACTTTATTTGTACTTCTGCTTCTTTCTTTAAAAATGAGAGGTAACAATAGCTACTTCATGAGGTTGCTGGGAGGATGAAATGAAGTCATGTTTGTAAAGCACTTAGTATAATACCTAGGACATTGAAATTTTTCCGTAAGTGTTATTATAATTGCCATTATTGTCATTAGGAAGTGTTGTTACTCTTTTTAACAGGTGGAGGAACTCAGGCTCCTCCATTATTTTGCTGGACAATTCTTTTGCTACGTTTAGACAGGTGCTGAGTAGATAAAAAGGTGATGAGTAAATAAGAAGAAGCATATGTCAGAGATTAGAATTAATCAACCAATAGCATGTGAAGAGGAGCGGGAAGTGACACAGAAGATTCAAGGAACGTTAAAATACAGACCCTGGCTTCCAGAAGAGTACTGGAGACAAGACACACCCAGAAGGCTCAGAAACAACTGCTATTTTGAGATCAATCAACCAAACTTGATCTAAGTCATACACCTAAGTTTTGAGTCTTTAAGAGTGGAGTTTAGACCTACTAATGTTTTCTTGGATGAATTATCAGAAAATCTTTATGTTGATCATAACAATAGTAATAGCATAGGAGTATATATGGAGCCCCTACTATTTTTTGACACTGTGCCAAACCCTTGATATATACTGTTTCTCACAATTACCTTTTAAGGTGAAGCTTCTATGTCCCATTTATAGTTAAAGAAACTCAGAAGTCAAGGCATTTATTCCAGGTCCAGTTTCTAATAAGTTGAGATCTTACTGGAGATCTATCTGACTTCATGGGTCAAGTTCTTTTCTCTATGCCTCATCCTTGTTAGTTAGTAGGATTTGAGTGGATATGATTTTACTTTGATCTTTAATTAATATTGACCCATCTGATAAACAAATAAAGATTTTTCTAATATAATACCCAGTTACTCTAGAAGGATTCCTTTGAAAATAGGAATGGTGGTGCATGCCTATAATTCCAGCTACTCAGGAGGTTGAGGAATGAGAGTCACTTGAACCTGGGAGGTGGAGGTTGCAGTAAGCTGAGATTGCACCACTATACTCCAGACTGGGTGACTGAGACCCTGTTTCAAAAAAAAAAGAAAAGAAAAGAAAAGAAAATAGGGCTTAGCATAGTTGATACAAATGAGCCAAAGTGTAGGTTTTTCAGAGATTGGATGAAGTATAGGACTAACGAAATTGATCTTTCCCTTCCACTTGGTCACATTAAGACTTTGTGTGTGTGTTCTATGTTCTGGAGGACTTAGGTCTGGAAGGTCTGTGCTAGATGAGGTCAATTTTTGTTCTGACCTTGACATGAGATGAGCCTTCAGGCTGAGCCCAAGTGAGGAAGCCATTGCTCCTCATAATTCTGCAGGATGTTTTTTCATTTTTGTTTTTTGCTTTTTTTTAACAGTTCTCTACAACATCATCTGAAGCACCAAGCTCTCTGCTGTTCATCCATTTAACCAGCGACTTTCAATGTGGATAGTATTGACTATGACACTCCCTGCCCTTCAGAGCAAGATCAGATTGCAAATGGTAGGAGACAAGTTGTAAATTAGTCTTTTATGTGGAACACAGTTCACAAGTCTGGACCTCAACCTTGTCCCCATTTTAAAGGATTTATTGAGCACAATGACTTGCCTATATGTGAAAATAGCCCTCAGTTACTGCCATAGTGATTTTTCACATTGCTTTTGTGAGATCATGGGTTTGATAAGTGAATAAGATGTAACACCTTTGAAGATCATGGGTTTGATAAATAAATAAGATATAACAACTTTTGAGAAGTAGAATTTTCTAAGAGTATTCCAAGTTAAGTTTAAAGTTTTGAGAGGATGCTACACTAATTCCCTGTAAGTATATGGAAGCATTGTGTTATGAATGCAGCTGGTCATTTATTAATGTTTGGTATTAGCTAATTGGAAAACACCTAAGTTATAACTAGTCACCCCCAGAGTTCAGGGTTGATTAAACAGTCCATTACACTTTTTCCCTCTAGAATGCCTTAGGAATATTTATAATGACTTGCCCATTGTCTTGAGTTAATTATTTCTCATTTTTTTCTAGTGTTCCTCTCTGTAAATATCCTAAAATATCCCATCATGTTACACTGTTCTTCTCTTATATTTCACAACTGACGTATATAACCAGGAACATTTAAGCAATAGTTTGGTTCTTTCAAAGGAATAGATAAATCATCAGGCTACGTGATGAGAGAGGAAATGACAGTTTTTATCTTTTATTCAGGTAGCCTAAATTTACATGAGACCACAAAAAGTTCCTGGCAGGATGTCATTGATTGTGTTTACCCAGTTGGGGCTTGAGATGGGTCTTTCTGCCACATTGCAGGGCACCTTCTTGCCTGCAGATCAAATCCCAGATCTTCCAATTCTCACGAATTTTCAGAATAGAGATTTCAGCCCCTTGGCAGATTTCCTATTATTCTTAGTTCGGCTTCCTTCTCTCTGTGCCAATCAGTAACGATATCCTCTCTTGTTGGATGCTATGAATGATAGCCCCATAGAACTAAATGAAGAGAAAATATTCATTGTAATAACTAAGTCATTGAGTACCAGACCTTATTATAAATTATTTGTGTGTATTACCTAATTTAATCCTCATAGCAATTTTATGAGGGACTATTTTTATCCTTATTTTACAGATGAAACTGAAACACACTTACCTAGTGCAAAGGCCTGCCTTTCCTCCTCCCTTTCTTCCTCCTTTTTCCCCTCCTGCCAACCATCCTGCTTCTATCCAACCAATTCCCTCCTTCCCTTACCTTCCCTCCCTCCCTCCCTCCCTCCCTCCCTCCCTTCCTTCCTTTTTCTTTTTCTTTCCTCTCTCTCCCTCCCTCTCTTTCTCCCTTTCCCCTATTTACTTCCATGCTCTCTCCCTTCCTCTCCCACTTCCTTCACTACTTTCCTCTTTCCTTCCCTACTTTCATTCTTCCTTTCTTCCCCTCCTCCCTCCTTCCTTCTCTCCTGCTTTCCTCCTTCCTGTCTGTCTCCCTCCCTCCCTCCCTCCCTCCCTTCCTTCCTTCCTTTCTTCCTTCCTTCCTTCCTTTCTTCCTTCCTTCCTTCATTCCTTCCTTCCTTCCTTCTGTCCAAGCCAAAAATGTGAATTAAGCACTTGGTGTGTACTGAGCAGTATTGTGGTCACTGAAAATGACAGTGAACAAAACAAAGTCCCTGCCTCCATGGAGCGTAACCACTATCCTATAGTGCCCCAATTTACACATCTTCCCTAAGGAGCTCTCCCAGATTAATACCACCCAGTTTCTAACCTACCTGGATAATCTCAACTCTTCTTCCATTTCACAATACACTTAAGTAGTTTAAAAATTCAAAGTTTCAAATTTTAGCTAACGTGCCTGCTTTGAAACTTTTAGGTGCCAATAGGCAATGTACCTTAGGTACCTTCATGTACAATCTTACGTTCTGGGGATGACCACAAAATTCAATATAACTGCTATTTTCTAGACTATGTTACAATGAGAGAGAGAGAGAGAGAGAGATACCTGGGAAAATCATTGGACCCACTTCCAAAAGAGGTTTCATTATGTTGTGTCTGATGATAGCATTGAAAACCCAGGTTATTTTTCATCAAAAATGGTCATGAAGCCAATTGAGGATTTCCTGAATGAAGTCTGCAATTTAGGAGTAGAGCATTTAACCCAAAAGCCATGGACCATGCTAGCTTTGGACATCAGCCTGAGCTTTATTAAAACATTCACACCTAGGGAAATTTCTAGATATTTTAACTGTAATCAATTAAGCTAGGTGTTACAGGGACAGCCATATGTTTGTTTGTTTGTTTTATCTGTCTTAGAGAAAGTGCAATGGGGGATAGACTTAGTATGGATTAAAAGGGATACATTTATGTGGCTTTCAGTCACTTCCTAGTTATTACAAGTTATCCTGGCATAAGTATGTGCATTAGTCCATTCTCACACTCCCATGCAGAGCTACCTGAGACTGGGTAATGTATAAGGGGCATCTTAGACCTCTCCTAAACCAGTCAGTCATTAAGACTTTTCATGTCATATAAGAGAACACTAAAAACTGAAGACAATTTCCTCCATCCTCTTTTTATCATTTAAAATATTGTTGTCACTGCATTCGGTATGCTAAAATATGATTTTTTTTTTCTCTTTGTATCAGTTAGGATAAATTACTTATGCTGTAGCAAAGAGCCCCCACATGTTGGAGGCTTTCACATTCGAGGTTTATTTTTCACTCATGTCACAAGCTACTGCTGCTCCATGCACTCAGGGTCCCTTATTCCTTCCATCTAGTGTTCTCCAATGGCTTCTCTGGATCTGGATTAGAGAAAACTGATGGCTGATGGTGATCATAGAAACAAGGCATGACAGTGACATGCTTCATTTATGCCCACAATTGATTGTGAGTAACTCAGTCATATTGTCTCATCTAGGAAGGTGAAGAAATTACTAGAAATTCCTAGAAGAGGAGAAATAGGCATATAAGTGGGTAATAGCAGTCTCTGCCATAGCCTTCAATAGATATGTAAAAAAGGACAAATTTTTGGTAGATAGAAATAGTCTCAGAGGGGACTTGTTTCAGCTCCCAAATCTATGTGCATTTAATGGGAGATGCTATTGTGCTTTGATGAAAAGAGTCTGGAATTTGGAATTAAAGTATCTGGATTTGTAGTTGTCCTAGCTGTTCACTTATTAGCTATGGGACCTTGCATGGAACGCAGTCTTCCTGAGGATCAGTTTCATGAACTATCAGATAAGGCTGATAATAATGTCTACCTCACTTACTGCATAGGTTGTTTTCAGGGTCAAATGAGATCAAAGGAAGAGTTTATTGTACTCTCTGAGATGCTGTGCAAATATAAGTGCCTGCTCTTCCTTCTCTTCCTCCTCACCTTGGGTCCAGTTTCCATTCTTACTTCAGGATGCTATGTTACAGATACTTGGCTGTAAGACTGATAGAGATGCTGATGCCTTTGTTGCCTGATGCTGATATTTAGGAGACTAAATATAATTTCTTTCTTTTTTTTTTCTTTTTGAGACAGAGTCTTGCTCTGTCGCCCAGACTGGAGTGCAGTGGCCTGACCTCTGCTCACTGCAAACTCCAAGGGTTTAAGCAATTCTCCTGCCTCAGCCTCCTGAGTAGCTGGGACTACAGGCATGTGCCACCACACCCAGCTAATTTTTGTATTTTTAGTAGAGACAGGGTTTCACTATGATGGCCAGACTGCTCTCGAACTCCTGAACTCAGGCCATCCACCTGCCTCGGGCTCCCAAAGTGCTGGGATTACAGGTGTGGGCCACAGTGCCTGGACTAAATGTCATCTTTAATCTTCCCTCAGAGACTGAATATGTACTCTTATATGTATAAGATAGATTTTTATATCTTATATATATGAATTTTATATAAAAATATATCTATGTAAAATATATTTCGTATATAAAATTTTATATCTTATTAAAGATACAAATTTATATATAGTATATTTTTATATCTTACACAAAAGATAAAAATTGTATATGAGGTTTTATATATGTAAAGTTTTGATTATATATATAATATATATATAATGTATATATATCTCAAAACTCAAAATTTGAAATGCTCCCAAATCTGAAACTTTGGGTGCTGACATGATGCTCAAAGGAAGTGCTTATTGGACCATTTAAGATTTGGGTTTTTTTTTGAATTAGGAATGCTCAACAAAAAAAAATCTGAAATCCAAAAGAGTTCTGGTCCCAAGCATTCATTCTGGATAAGAGATACTCAACCTGTGTGTGTGTGTGTGTGTGTGTGTGTGTGTGTGTGTGTAGTCTCTGGATTTGGGGGAAAAAGACAAGATGGGAGGTATTCCTTTTAAACTGTGTAAAAAATAACAAGGAAGCAAATTGTCAGCATCCCTAGGTGGGGTGACTAATGCCATGAGCTGTTAAAATTCAGTGTGAAAACCTTAACTGTGGTCCTTTGAAATATTTTCTTTGGAAAAAGAAGGAGAAAATAATTGTGCTATCTTGAATTCTTTTGAGTTGAGGTCATATAACAAGTGGTATATTAAATGGAGTAGAATTTTTAGAATGAAGATATTTTATGTTTTAGATATCTTCATCACATCTTACTATTGATATGTACATTTTCAATACAATAGCCAAAAATGATTGATTGGTTTTCATAAATACAAATTATTTTATGGGCCTCTGGTCTCTGTCTTAGATATTGAAAGAAACTCTACCCAAATGTGTGCAACTCGTACAGTTTAGAGAGAATGAGATTTTTTGTGTAACTTTTATTTTTCACAATTTCCTTACTTCTTTACAACCCTCGCCTCATTATGCCAGTGGAACTTATTTCTTTGGGAAAAACCTAAAATTATTGATAAGAAAGTCAATTGAGTTTCTGAATTTATTTTTTTAAATCCCTAAAAGAGACAATTCTCTTCAAAGCTGAGACTTTTGCTGCAAGAGACTGAACTCTAAAAGCTTAAGACCCTGGAATTTTTGACACATGGAAACCACTGATTGGGAAGGAATGGCTCAGGAGTATTTTCCTGCCTACATGGAGACTGGGTTTGAGCAGCAGGCAGCCAGGAGAAGAAATTGAGGACAGAGACTGGTGAAGAACCAGAGAAAGTGCTTTGTGCCCATCCCCCTCCTGCCAAGTCTTTGGGGGACCTAAAGATAGCATAGGATAGGATGCATTTGCTGCCTTGTATATTGCTTGATGATGAAGCTCTAGAAAAAGGAAGCAATTATTGTAGATAAGTCTCCCATTCCAGCATGGCTCTGCAGCAGGAATAGGAGGTCTAGGCAGAGAAAGCCTGAAGCAGTACCCAACAGGCCTGCAGTCCCAGGAGATGCCAGAGAGCCAAACATTTCCCATTCCCCTGAGATGAGTATTTGTGTGGCCTTTTGGGTTTATCACTTTTATAACACATAAAATCCATAACTGCTATTAACATAAATGTTAATCATGCTGCATTCTAATTTTCCTTTCTCTTATTTAGATATCAAATGGCTTATAAGCTTCTGGAATCAACTGTGTGATCTTCAAAACTGGCAACTTGAGAACAGAGCAGGAAGTAAGTGGTTCAGCTTTGGATACCCTGGTAAGGATCCCAACAGTCAAAGAGCATGTTCCTTTGGAAGCCATTGTCAATGGAGGCAGGGCTGCCATCAGCTGGCACTCATCAGGAAGGTCCCACTGTGTCAGTCTGTCTGTTCCAACTACTTGTTTCATCTTTTGAGTATCACACCTACTGATGACCTTGGCGTGATGTCTATTGCCCGATGCCAGCAAGTTTCAAACACCTCCTCCTACAACTTGTATATCTCCCCATGGGTATAAGGAATAAAGAAAGAGAAGGGAACCTTGTGAAATGACTGGTGATGCCCTCCCAAGGAGACTGGCATAAACCAGAAGTGACTAAGTTTACCTTGATTGTCGAGCTTAAGTTTTCCACTATGAATTTGTGAACTAATTTAAGCTCATTTACAGTGCATTAAAGAGAGCTCCATTTTGTTTTAACATGTAAAATTTTAACTGCTACAAATGTGAATCACTGCATTTAAGCTTTCACTTCTCATATCTTGATGTCAAATGCGCCCCAAAGCCTCTAAAGCAATCAGGCATTTCCTAGAGGAGATCTAAGGGGAAACATGTTCTTCTGCAATTTTAGAGGGCGGGATGATGGGCTCATTGGGGGTGTATTACCACAGTAGGGTCTCACTTACAAAGTGGCACGATAGGAATTGACCTTTCTACTTTTTAGGGATTGGGAAAAGCTGTAAAGCAAACCCCTATTAGAGAAGAGGCTGAATGATATGTTTCTTTCACATGAGTTGAAATCAGGAGTACTTGATTTCAAATAGGAAAAGCAGCAAATGGAAGAAGTGTAAATGATAGACTGGACAAAGGAAATATGGCACATATATACCATGGAATACTATGCAACCATGAAAAATGATGAGTTTGTGTCCTTTGTAGGGACATGGATGAACCTGAAAACCATCATTCTCAGCAAACTGACACAAGAACAGAAAATCAAACACTACATGTTCTCACTCATAGGCGGATGTTGAACAATGAAAACATGTGGACACAGAGAGGGGAGCATCACACACTGGGGTCCATTGTGGGGCGGTTAGGGGAGGGATAGTGGGAGGGAGGGTAGGGAGAAATGTCAGGTATAAGTGATGGGGGGATGGAGGTAGCAAACCACCTTGCCATGAATGTACCTATGCAACAATCTTGCATGATCTGCACATGTACCCCAGAATCTAAAGTACAATTAAAAAAAAAAAAAAAGAAGGGCCGGCGCGGTGGCTCAAGCTTGTAATCCCAGCACTTTGGGAGGCCGAGGCAGGTGGGTCACAAGGTCAAGAGATCGAGACCATCCCTGTCAACATGGTGAAACCTCATCTCTACTAAAAATACAAAAAAAAATTAGCTGGGCATGGTGGCGTGTGCCTGTAGTCCCGGCTACTCGGGAGGCTGAGGCAGGAGAATTGCCTGAACCCAGGAGGCAGAGGTCGTGGTGAGCCGAGATTGCGCCATTGCACTCCAGCCTGGGTAACAAGAGCGAAACTCCGTCTCAAAAAAAAAAAAAAGAAAGAAAAAGAAATATATAAACAGACCTCTCCAGAAAAAGAAATTAATGAAACTAAAAAGGAAATGGACTGATATTTGTAGCTTACCATACAGAGTTAGTCAAAGGAGCTTAGATATTTTTCTAGGGAAGAAATTACCAGTATCTCTGGGAATGAATTTTTTCAAGTTTTAAGAAATAAGTAATTTGAGTCTATATACAAGAGTGGTAGGTAAATTTAGAAAGATTTAAGGCAGGTCTTCATGGAAAAGTTAGTTGTCCCTCAAAAGTCTTTTGTGCCTGGATAGACAGGATGGGGTCATTGGGTAGTTAGGGGCCCAGAGACAATGGACCATGAATCCAGAGATAGGTTCATCAGATAAAGAATGAGTGCCTCCTATAAAAGCAGTGTAAACATTGCTAAACATTGAAGTGGGTAATTGAGGAGAACAATGCAGTCTCCTTCTCAGGAGTTTATGAAAAATAGGAAACATTTTCATTGGTCTGTGTGGGTTTTTAACTACTTCAAGGTGAGAGAGAGACAGCTGGGTGAAGCAACTGGGTCAGCTCTAGTGAGCATCTTGGGTTAGTGGTATGCTAGTTTATCTGTAAATATAAATACCTCCATTTGACATTTACAACAATTGTAGAATTTTTCACTTTAGTGGATCACAAATGGGAGGTAAAAATGGAGAAATGGGAAAATATCACTGACGTGGGGCAAGGAAGGTGGTTTTATTGGGCTCTTAAGATCCACTTGGATTTTAATAGTCAATGTATTTCCCAGAAATTCCACTGGAAGATGTTTCATTGGGTTACTACACAGTACCATCAAGTAAATATAATAATGATATTCATCATAGCCTGGGAAATGTTCAGAAAATTTGCTGTACTCGAAAAGGAGTTGTGAAAGTCATCGTTCATTTGGTATCTCTGGGTGTCAGGATGATTTTTCTAACTCATGTGGGATCAGGGCCACCTCTAGGCTTACAGGGCCCTGGGAATTTTTTTTTTCAGGACCCCTTTCTATATAAACAATTGGATTAAAACACATAAAATTCATGGACCCTTGTGAGGTATTATCATTTATTAATGAAGGTTTAGGATAATGGATAAAGCATGGATACTTACATAATTGGTTTTGTGCAGTCAGTGCGTATAAAGATTCTTCATGGTGTCCAGGCACCATTGCTTCCTGTTCACGGTCAGGAACCACGTCTCTGTGTTCTTTGTTGTCAAATACACCCCTTCTGGCTAACTCCAAATCTCCCATCATGGCAAAAAGGTGAGAAATATGTTATTATAATCCTCACAGGGCTTGTGAGAGTGTTATAATACTCATAGACCTCTTTGGAGCCTGTTTGTATGGGAGCAATATAGATAGACTCTCTTGCCTCTTTACATTCCTCATAGCCATTTTTGCAGTGCTGGTCATATCATTCCTCATGGCACCTCCTCCTTCCTTGTGCACCCTGTGAATATTGGTCTCCAGTGACTCTCTGTAGGATTGTTACTGTGCTTCTTAGCTGATTATCATGAATGCAAGCCTTACTGAGAGTATGTAAAAAATGGGAACAATGATAACTCACTTTTTGGTCCTGTTAAATTTATTATTTGCATCTTTATAGCATAAATGTAGAATAACATGCTTTCGACTGTGTCTTTTCTTGAATGCTTTGGGCTATAATCTTTGCATTCCTAGGGTTCTCCTTCCATGGGCTTAGTGAGAAGAGTGGTTTCATTCCCACAAAAAGACCAACCAGAAAAAATGCAAGATCCACATCGATAAGATAAGGGAACATCTATTGTAAAGATCCATGGCCACTTGCATTGTGAAACAACAGTTTCTAGAAAACCTGGAGAGGGGTGAGGCCACCTCTGACCATCTGGCATGTGGCAAGGAGCCTGCAAGGGTGGGGCCAGCAGTTTGGGTGAGAGTTGCACAGGATGAAGGGCACCTGCTACTGCCCTGCCAGCCTGGGATTCTGTAGTTTGGAGGCAGAAACACCAGGGTTCTGCATTCTCTGCCCATCCTGGACTTGAGTCTGGCTTTGTTGATCGGTCGGTATTTCACCAACGTTTGCAGGTCCACAAGCCAAGCTCAAGTCCAGGATGGGCAGTGAATGCAGAGCCCTGAATAATCCCATGTCCAACATGAGTGAATCACCCTAAATCAGCATGTCATTGCCACTCTGGCATGAAATAAACACCATGCTTGACAGTAGGGGTAACCTGTTTATCAGACCACTGTCCGGGAACAGGGCCTAACCACAGGCCCAGATGACCACAGAGAGGTTCCTTGGGGCATCTGGTCAATCCCACACTGGGGCAGAGGGTTGGAGAATGTCCTGAAAAGGAGAAATGGGGGCCAGGGCTCATGCAAGTCCCAGTGTGAGATGGGGTGCCTGACCCTGATGGCACTGCTGGCCTTGGTAGATTCCAGTTACCTGAGGAAGACTTGGAAAAATTTGCACAAGACATCCAAAGTACAGGTACCCTGAGGTGTGCACCATGGGCCGTAGGCCTGGATCTAAGGGTGGTACTGTGCAGGGTTGGGCATTGTAGATTGGAAGCACTGGAGGGACCATTGTAGATAGCTATACTGTTGAACTCGAGCTGGAGATACTTCAGGCTTTCACTTTACAATGGTCTGTCAGAGTGAAGTGCTACAAATTCCCAAATGACAGTAGCCATATATAATTTATTAGGGATATATGTGTATGTGTGTATATTCCCCTAATGCATACATGTGTACACACATTATATATATAAATGCATATAAAATAAGCATATATAATGTATATAAAATGATAAGATTTAATTTATATATTTTATAAATGTGCATATATAAATATTACTTATATCTTTTATGTACCAGTAATCTCTCCCCTTTGGTAAAGTGTATGGCTTCATTCATTCACTCAGTCTTAAAATTTATGCAATCTATTTATTTCAAAGCACCAAGTTTTGTGTTTTTGATCCAGTAAATCATTTCAATATGTGAAATGATGACACCAAAATGACACTAATCTTCATTTCTTCACTTTGTAAGGAGCTGGACAGGTGTATTTATGCTGAATATTGCATTCACCTATAACCATATATTCTTTATGGTTGATACTTTTGTGTAATTTGGAAGCTTTCTTACTAATTTGACTCTGCTCATCTACTCTGAATTTTCCTTTCAGTATGTAGAACTTCTTGTTACATTTTCAACAGAGTACTTTATAAAGAAAAATTATTCAGCAAATAAAGGAAATGAAAACCCCAATGGATATTGTGTAAGAATAGAGTTGTACCATTACCGATGAAATATTCTTTCCTATAAACAAAATGAGGAACCAGCCTAGAAAGTATTCAGTATACTTAAATATGCTGAGATCTTGGAAATTTTTACTATGAGAATACTACACATCACGGCATATGTTTGAGGGGTATAAATTTCTCATTCTCTACATTCACTGGAATTTTGAGAAGTGGCACCAAATATAGGCTTTGAGCTTTGTGACCTCTGAACTCAG